CCGTCACATAATGCTGGACTCTGGAGACATTTGTTATTCATTCTTTTGAAGCTTATTTCTAGTCACTGTTGGTGCATCTGAAATTTCCATTCAATTTAAAAATCCAAATATTTTTTTCAACTCCTTGGAACAGATTCCTCCTGGTGATATCGCTCATTGCACTAATCAACTCCTCTAGGATAAGCGCTGGCACACGGCTCTTATTTTTTAATTACAGAGCATTTTTATTCCCGCAGAACCTTGTTTGGCAAATTCTAAAGAAAATCATTACAGGAGGGCTTTTGTTTTTTTTAAATCTTTTTGGCTCGACCACATCATAAGTACATCCCATTGTACATGGAGGACCTGAGCTCAGGCAGCCCCGCAGGCACCCCTGGCTCTGCGTCCGACACTGACACCTGACTTCTTCCTCCGAACCTGCTGGCTCTCCATCTCCCACTATGTTTTAGGTGAATTATACATGTAGCCACTCTTCTTTCTTTCTGCGAAGTTTCAAAAAGGGAAGATTATAATGAATATCCATAGACCCTTCCTCACAGGTATCAATTGTTAACATTTTTTCAGCTGTTAACATTTCCATATTTTCTTTCTCTGTAAATATTCATTCTTATTGATGAATCATGTCAAAATACAATGCAGACCTCATAAAACTTTACAATACTTTGTCAATTGTCCCTACATTAAGAAAGATCCAAAGACTACATAGAATAAGTAAAAACATAATAAATGAGAGCTTTGTCTACATACCCATGACATATTTGACGACCATTACCAATGGCCCTTCAGCCTTTTTTCCCTTAGCCGCCTCTCATTGGCAGAACTCCCTCGGAAGTCTGTTGCTCCGCTAAGAGTTCTGTAGCCCAACGTGAAACCTTCCCAAAGCTCTCCATGTCACTGTGCGTTAGGATGGAACCAAGAGTGAACATGTAAAAAATTATTGCATGTTTTCTACAAACTATATTGTGCCTTTGTTCAATCCTAACTTGATTTTTATACATTAATAAATTTTCTGTTCTGTTTGCCCACACTAAGTTATCATCTTTATTATATTCAACCATTTTGATATATCTCCTTGAGTTTTGTTTTAAACACCTCTTTAATTGGCAGAGTACTAAGGGACTTGGATAGGGTTCTCACCGTTTTGTGGTGATTTACGCCAATCCATCAATCTGGTCACCAGTGGAAGCACAGCACTTCCTGTGGCCCCTTGCCTTCCATCACACCCACACCCCGTGAGCATCACACTGTGAGAAAAGAAACATGCAGGAAAAGCATGGCCATGTCTCAGAGGAGTGTGTACAAAGGGGTCAGATGTGTCCCTTGGGTAATCCTGTTGTCATTTGTTCTTGGATCGTTTTGGTCCTTGATGACGTAGATGATTCTCTCTTAGAATTATCCAAACAAAGTGTGTTTTGGAAAGAATTGATTTTTCCCTTTTTAAAAAATATATCAACAATAAAACAAAACAATCAAAAAAAGCACACCTCTTTACAACAGGCTATTGCTTTCTGGCCAGTTATTAATTCTGGGTAGGAAGTTTTCAAGGAGTAAATAAGAATTTTTGTAACTTTTAGAGGGAAGAGTCCAGTTCTAGTCTGACAGTTAAGCTGTTTTGCTAGCTCTTAGTGCTCTCATTTCAAAGTTTCCAGTATCTTTTGTAATTGCCTCAGAAAAATGATTATTTTTAGTTCCATTTGTGATTAAATTAAGGGTTTGGCAATAAGAGCCTACACAAATCAATTAGAAAAGCAAGATAAAGCGAAAGAACTTTTATGAAATCAATTCTGTGTGAGCTTGGGAATCCAAATGTCAACAATAAAGGACATGTAACCATCATCTATTCTGTCTTTTTATCTGTGTGTGCTCAATTTATTTCTTCATCTTGCAGTGGGCCTGCAACAGCAAAAATTGAGAAACTTACTTCCCATAGAAATTAAGCTGATCATTCAATCTATCTAACCTTTCAATTATCCTGAATTCTCAGCTCTGTGTCCAAGCAAAGCTCATTGCCACACTGACTAAAATGATAAATGTCACTGAAAAGCCAATGGTAGCATCACACACTATAACAATAATACATTTTATCTGACTTACCTTCTTCATGTGAAGTAGATTTTAGCAGAATACCTTACTTTAACTGAAACTTCTCATTATTTTAATGCAGCGTTCATCATCTGAGTTTTTGTAATAATAAAAAGAAGCAAAAAATCCCAGTACAATAAATTAATACTAAATGAGGAAATTCAATTCAATCTAGCTAAACTTTGATTGATTTTCTAACTGTATTACTGCCCATTCAATTACGCTGAACATCTGCTCCAGAGGAAATCATATCATACGACTGAGGCATGACCTCACATATTATCAAATCAGCAAAGGATAAGAGTCTACGCATCTTCAAGAAATACACAGAACATAGTTGGAAAAGGTAGCAACAGAATCCTCTGTTATTAACTCAGAGACAATATCCCGGATACCCGTTCTCCATGATTGTGCACATTATGTATCTACAATGATGTATTTGTACAGGCTTCATGCTGACTGACTCCCACAAGAGGCAGCAGCATTTGGAAAATTCCTAAATTGTGACTTGTTTGTTTGTCTAAAGGCTGATGACTTCACCTGGGCTTGTCCCGGTCAGAAGTATAATCCCACGGAGGCACGAAAGGGGCATTTGGCCCCCAGGAGTCTGTGATTGAGGGGAAGCTGCTGAGGCTTTTTAACATTGGCTGGAAGTGAGGAACCGGCTGCCCACTCTGCCCTATCTGTGGATGAGAACATAGCCCCTTCTCTGCTCAAAACCCTACAATGCTACTTTCTATGCTCAGATTAAAACCCTCTGCTCCCCCTTGATCCCTCCATCCCAGGCCTCCCTCCCCCTGCCTCCTTGCTGGCCTCACACACACTAGGCACAATCATCTTTATGGCTTTGCATTGGCTGTTCCCCTGACTGGATGCTCTTCCCCCAGATGGCCTTGGACTAACTCCTTCTCTTTGAAGTTTTTGCTTAAATGTTACCTCAGTAAAGTCCCTGATTATTGCATCTGCCCAAAAGGACACATAAGCCCCCTTTCTGTGCTCAAATTTACATTTCCCCTAGCATTATATTATACTAGAGGCCCAGTGCATGAATTTGTGCACCAGTGGGGTCCCTCGGCCTAGCCTGCAGGATTGGGCCGAAACTGACTCTCTGACATCCCCTGAGGGGCCCTGGATTGCAAGAGGCTTCAGGACAGGCTGAGGGACCCCACCGGTGCACAATTGGGGCCGGGGAAGGACACAGGAGGTTGGCCAGACAGGGAGGGATTGTGGGAGGGCTTCAGAGCGTGTCTGACCCATCTCGCTCAGTCCCAATTGGCCAGACCCCAGCAGCAAGCTAACCTACTGGTTGGAGCATCTACCCCCTGGTGGTCAGTGCACATCATAGCAACTGGTCAGCTGGTCTACTGTCTGCCCCCTGGTGGTCAGTGCACATCATAGCGAGCAGTTGAGCGGCCTTAGCATATCATTAGCATATTATGCTTTGGTTGAATGGATGACTGGGCGACTGGACACTTAGGATATTGGGCTTTTATTATATAGGATAATTTATTTACTAGGCTTTTGTTTATTGTCTCTTTCCATTAAAAATATTAACTCCATGACACTGGGGATCTCTGTCTATTTGTTTGTTGATATATCCCAAGCATCCAGAAGAGAGTGTCTGGCACACAGTAGGTGCTCAGTGAACCCTTGATGAATGAATGAATGAATAGCAAATAGGTACCTAATTAAGGTCTGCTATCAGAGAGATTAATTAAAAGCAATATATAATAATGATAATATGCATTTTATGATGCACCAAAAGCATACATTTATTGAGTGCATATTACACATTAAATATACTCTAAGCATTTTACATGGATAATCTCATCAAATGCTCATGACAATCCCACAAAGCTGGTTATCTATGTTTATTCCGATTTCATGGTCATTGTTACAAAGTGATGGAGCTGGATTTAACACCACATGAGTGGGCTCAGGACCCCATACTCTTAACTACTGGAATCACCTTCACCCACCAGGCACTGGGCTTTCCCACCATTCCCCTTCCTGTGGACACAGGCTCCAGGTACTATAGCAATCAGCTTTCCATTTATTTTCTGGATATTAGTTAAAGTGCTTGCATTGGTGCTTCTCAGATCTGTCCATCTGAGATTAGAAAGTTATTTCTATTCACAAGATGTGCACTCACAGTTATAGAGTGGACCCAAAGATTAGGGGGGACAGCAGATCTAAAGCGGACACCAAGCTCAGCACGACTAGTGTTGAGTGCTGCTGAGTGATGTGAGGGTAATTCCAGAGGTGAAGGTGGGTTCCTGAGTGGGAAGGAACCAGGGAGACAATTAGAAAGCCCTGGAGGATTCACCAGCGAGCAATTACGCTGCTGTGAAAAAGAAGGAATCCTTACCATTTGCAACAGCACGGATGGAACTAGGGAGCATTATGCTGAGTGAAATCAGCCAGTCAGAGAAAGATAAGTATCACATGA